GGAAATGTCGTGAAAGGAATCATTTCTCCTGCCAATGATTATATTTGGAAAAAAGGACTTCTTTCATCAAAACATCGTGTTGCAATGTGTCAAGAAGCTGTAAAAACATCAAATTGGATTATTGTTGATGATTGGGAAAGCACCCAAAAAGAATACGTACGCACATACAATGTATTAGCCCATGAAAGAGAGGTGTATGGGAATGATTATGACATTTACTTTATTGGAGCAGATGATTTAATTCCAAATATGATGAACAAAAATTGTTGGGACCAAGTCTTATTAGAAAAAATCGTTAATGAATTCGGTATTGTTTTCTTTAAACGAATAAATCCTAATTGCTCTGAACAAATCAAAAGTTATCCATTATTTGCTCGTCATTTAAATCATATTTTTATAATACAATCATTTCAATCTCAACATAGTTCAACATTAGTTCGTCAACTAGTAAAATCAGGAATGAGTATTAAGTATTTAGTACCTGATAGTGTTATTAATTATATTACAGAACATCAACTTTATCTTGAATAATTAAAATACTTTTTGTTTTATAAAACTATAATAATTATTTTATTTTATATTAACAAACTATAACAAAAGGTCAATAAATAGATATATCTGCAATTGGGTTTTCTTTATGCAGAGAGGTGGTTCTCTCATCTCTTTAATACGGCTTTCTTCTATCACAGAGTCCCTTTCCAATAATTTCTCCATAGAAGGTTCTTAAAAAAAAGAGAAATAAATAAATTAAAAAAAATAAATTGATTAAAATATGTTCTTTTTTTTTTGAAAAGAAAAGAAGAAATCCAATTATTTAAAACTAGAATAAAAATAATAAAAAGTTAAAAGAAATAATAAATGGATATTTTTGATTAGTCATCTATTATTAGTTTATTTATATATTATTCATTTTATGATATGTTTGTAAAAAAATAATATTAAAAAAAACCGAATATAACAATATAATAAGAATACACGTTTTAGTATTTTTCCTCTATTGCATAATTATCATTGGATATGAAATCAAATTCTGAGAAAGCAACTTCTTCTATCTTTTGACAATAATCATCTTCTGTTTCACCACTACTTTCTTGAACAGATTCAAGTTGATATGTTTGTTGTTGTTGAGTATCAAGAACCAGACTATGAAATTTTTCATCAAATTCATAAAATGAAATAAAATGAGTATCTTCAAAGTTAGACTCTTTTGTACAATCTATACTACCAATAAATATTGTAGTAACTTTATTACTGTTTTGAAAAAAGATAGAAAGTAGTTTATGTACTTTCATTCCAATAGTTTGTTCAACAGTTTCTCGTTTTTCAGAAATGAATCTGTTTGATTTGGAATCAAACATTGGAAGAGAAGAAAGTCTTTTACTTGTTAATTTTTCAGTTCCAGTAGCAGATTTAGTGCACTCTACCCTAACTTTAGGATCAACTAAATTTTTTCTTTTAAACATTTCATTAAAAAGATGCATTAAGATTAATTGATTACTTCTCATTTTTGCACTTGTTTTAAGATTATCAAATTTGTTTTCTTTTGGATCTTCAATCATAAATCCATTCTTGTCAAAATCTAATTTACCGTTAGTAACTGAATAATTTATTCCATCATCAAATATTGTTTTTCCATTCTCATCAAGAATTTTTTTTATTGGGAAATATGCCAACATCCTTTTTGATGATCGTTTAGATTTTGTAATAAGAAATTGCCAATGGAATGATTTAATTGAAGTATAAATACATGCACCTAAATACTGGTATAGACTATTTGTTGCATTTCTTCTTGTAAGGGCTTGTTTAGAGGTTGTTTGCACTTGCATTTAAATTTAGTTAAAGTTTATTTTTCCCTTTTTAAGATTTTTTAGTTATTTTGATTAATACCTAATTATAAATAATAATTTCATTTTAAAATCATTAAGTAAAAATCATTATTTAAAAAATTTAATTTTAAGATCCTTTTATCAACGCAGAATATACATTAAATTTTGTTACCATAGCTGTTGAGTAATGCCATAGAGTCTTGTAAAAAAAAATCAAACAAGACACAGATATTCATGTTCAAAGAAAAGAAAGGAATTCAATAGCAATAAAATGCATAATAATTATGATAAAAGAAATAACAAGAAAAAAGGGTTTAGAAAAAGAAGAACACAAAGAAAAACAAATAAAAAACAAAGTAAATATAATGATAATAAACATTATATAAATAATAAATATAAATTATTAACAATAAATGAAATTCAAAAGAAAATTAAAAGAATAACAAGAAAATGGGAGAAAGGAGAATATTCAGAAATAATTAAAAAGTATGAAGGTAAAGAAAAGAAATGGTATAATACTCTCCAAGAAGTATATTCAATAAGAAAGAAGAAAACACTAGAGAAAAACAAAGAAGAATTCAAATAGAAAACAAAAGATTGGAAAAGTGAAGATATTAAAACAATCGAAGAAGAAATCAAAAACAAAAATCCAATTAAAGAAATGAACGATAGATGTAAATATGCAAGAATAATAAATGAAAAAGAAAATAAAGGGAAAACACAAGATAAAGAAGAGAAAATGGAAGAAGAAGGCAACAAAGAAGAAATTAACACACTTCAAAATAAAATTAAAGAATTAGAAGAAACTATTAAAGAACTTCAAACAAAAAAGAATAAAGAAGAACAAATCATCTCAAATGAAATGATTCAAAAAACACGAGAAACAATTAGGAAAGAGTTTGAAGAAGAAATAGAAAAGATTCAAACACAAATAAACAATATTCAAACTACATGTAATGAAATAAGAAAACTCTAAATTAAAATAATAAAATATTTCATTACAATCAAAAATAAATGAAATATAAAATATAAATAACACATAAAGATGAAATCATTATTTTCTTTGTTAATTATGAGATGAAGAAGAATGATGATGATGTGTTGAAGAAGAACATAAGAGATAAAGAAAATCAAATCTCTGTATATCAAAAAAGTGCGATTCAAAACTATGAGATTGCAGAAAAAACAAAAGAAGAATTAGACCATACACAAAGAGAAAATGAAGAACAAAAACAATTAATATCAAACCAACAAGAAAGTATCGAAAATTTTTTATCCCAGAAGGAACTGAAGAAGAAGAAAACAATGACTCTAGTGATAAATACACAACCAATACTGAGAACATCATCATCTGGGACAATACAAATGAACCAAACTACCCCTATGAAAAAGACAATTCTGGAAATAGAAGAAGAAGGGAGCAAAACACTGAGTGTCAAAAAACAAGAAATGATAATCAGTCAAGAAGAGAAGAAAACACAACAAATCAAACAAATAGAATTTTAATTGATGTGTTGTATTGTTTTGCAATTAATTTGTTAAATAAGAAATTAAATAAGAAATTAAGATGGGAACAAATAGAAAGCATAATAAAAGTAATAAACATTAATGTAAATAATGAGAAAGAATACATTAATAATATTAAAAAGTCACATAAAATAAAAGAAACAACTAAAAGATATATTAAAATGAAAGTGAACTCTATCATAGAAGGGAAAGTAGAGTGTAATCCAATAATAAAAAACATTATCATAAAAAATAACTCTACTGATATTGATGATGAATATCTTAACTCTATCATATTCAAGTTAAAGGAATGAAAATAGATAAATGTGTAAATATTAATTACTACTGGAAAATGAAAGAATCAGATAAATTAATAAGAGAAATAAATAATAAATGGGTATGGTCAGGAAGCAGAATAGAAAATCTGCAAGAAGATATGAAAATGATTTCAATGTGTATGCATTACTATCTCCAAAATAAATTTATCTCCTATAAATTTGATGAAGTAAAAGAAATCCTAAGGAAAATAAATAGACTAGAAGATCTAAACAATGGAATAGTACAGAATAAAATGCATCATGAGATTAAAGGAACAAGATGCAGATGAAATTAAAATGAAAGCACAAGAAAGAATAAAGTACCTAAAATATATGATGACGATGATTAAAGAAAGAATTAAATTTAATAAGAATGAAAGGGTCAGAATCAATACAAATAAAATCATGTTTGATTCTAATAAGAAAATTAAAATAAAGAAGAAACACAAAATGAAATATACCCAAATAACGATATTACTTTAGAATATTGGAAATCATTATATGAAACACAGGTGATATTAAATAAGGAACATTTGAAAATAAAACAAATCACCTCGTGGAATGAAAGGTACAGGAATTATGATAGTGTCATCATCACATTGGATGATTTAAATCTAAGCCTGATGAAAATAAGTAATTGGAAATCACCAGGTATTGACACTATATATGGGTATTATTGGAAGAGAATGTCATCATCAAGAGATTCCATTCTTAATATATTCAATGAATGGTTAAACTTCAATGAAAACATCCTTCTAGACATGGTAAGTGGAAGAACTATATTAATCCATAAATGAGGAGATATGAACGATGTCACTAATTATCGTCCTATCAGTTGTATAAATGTAATAATGAAAGTATTTACCTCAATATTGAAAGAGAAGATTCACAATAGAATTAACATGAATAGTGAATCATTAAAAATTAGTAAAAATCAATTATGATGTAAACTGCAATCTCTTGCTGCTAAAGAAGGATTAATTAACAGTTATATGTTAAAACAACAAAAAGAAGAAAAATACCCAAAATATGTAGATTCATATTATGAAATTAAGAAAACATATGACTCAGTAAATCATGAATAGGTAATAGAATCACTTAAATATTTTAATGTAGAGGGTGTCATCATAGACATTGTAGAAAGTATGATGAACAAATTGAAGATATTCATATGATATAAATATAACGAATATATTTGATGTATTAAATTGATGAATTTTATAATGTGATTCATTATCATTTCTACTCTTCTTCATCAAAATGAATGTAATTTCTCATTTCATAGAAGAGAAGTTCCCAAAAGCAAACAATACATTATATATGGATGATTTGAGAATAATGACACTAAGTAGCGAAGAAATGGGAACAATCCACAATGAAATTAAAGAAATAATAAGTGGAATAGGGATGGAAATGAAAATAAATCAGGAATGGTATTAAAGAACATTAATAAAATACCAGATGGAATGCAAAACATCCCAATAATTGAAGGAGAGGACTTGTATAAATATTTAGGAGTATGACAGTCAGATGAAATTAATGATACATTCAATTATAAAATCATCAAATAAAAGATGATGAAGAAAATGGAAGAGATAAATACTGGTGAAAGTAGTAATAGAAGTTATATTACAACAATTAATAATGAAGTAATACCAATCTTCAAATATTCAGCATCAGTAGTAAATTTGAATGTAACATAGATAGAATGGATTTTGAGATAAGAAAATATTTAAGAAAGGCAAAATACATTTGTTATAACTCTAAAGACCGTCTATATGTCCCTATAAATGAAATGGGTGAATGATTAATAAACCTAAAGGACGAATATTTTAATGAAATAATTAGAACAATAATGTACTAATGTACAAGAGTGAAATAGGAAATAACATAATAGATAGATGGTATTCAAAGAAATGAATATTGAATATAAATAAAAAAAGAATAAAACATAAAATCAAAGAAATAGAATAAATAATAAAAGAAATGACTAAAAATAAAAATAAATAAATAAAATAATGATAAATAAATACATTAATAAATTGAAATCAAACAATTGGATATTTTAGAATATTGATTGAATCAAAATTTATAGATAAAACTACTTTAATCAATAAATTGAAGTCAGTCAATATTAAGAAAAATTCATTTCTTCAATTAACTAAAATACAAGATGAACCAATATTCAATATGTACAGAAAAGATAAAATATTAAAAAATGAATAAAATACTATCCACTTTGTAAATAAAAGATATTCACAATAGAACACATTCTATTATCTTGTATTTGTCATAAGAAATCACAAATAGAAAAACATGAAAATATTTGTATTATCATATTAGATAATAAGAAAATATAAATGAAATCATCAATATGAAATCAATATATGAAACAATGTTCCAATATAATGACATCACTATGATATTGAACAAATAAATAATATCAAAAAGTGAATTACAATATCATAAAATAACAGATATATATGTACTAGATAAAAAGAATAAAACTGGTCTATATTTGATATGAATATTGTGGCAGATCACAATATTAATTGAGGGTATTTGAATAAAAGAAACATGTACAAAAAATTGAAAAATAAGGTAATGAAAACAAAGAAATTAAAAGATGTCAAAATAATTCCAATAGTAATTTGGATTAATGTGATAATAAATATAGGAAGTATTAAATTAATTAAACAATTAAAAATCGAAATTGACATCACTAAAGAAATCAAAAACATTGTAATTAAAAACATGATGGACGTCATGGAACATTGATTCTACCATAACCAAACATATGTTGTTGAACTACATGACGAAGATTCATTGACGGGATTAGTCTCCGGTGAGTCAGGAACAATAGACACAAGTTCTATTAATACTTAATTAACTACTTTTTATTTAAAAAATTTAATTTTTATAGTCTTTTTATTATAAAATCATTAAATTTAAAAATTTCTGTTCAATCCAACTAACACTATTTACTGTAATGAAGACATCACAAACGCAGATTGTTTTTCTGCTTCTGGAATAGAGTTTGTTATTTCATTTATCTTAGTTTGAATTGATTCAGCAATGTCCTCATTCACATGAATGTAAATCATAGCTACATCACTATATTTCTTTATAACAGCTTTACATGACTCTGCTGGTTCGTTGAAAAGTGCATTTTTAATCTGTTCAATTAAATTTAACTGTTCTCCTTCGACACAAACAACTAATACCTTTTGGTCTATAAAATAAATAACAAGTTGTATTTCTTTTATTTAAATATAATAAACAAACCTACTTTCTTTGAAATTGGTTTTTCATTTCTGTCTTTACTTTTTGGTGTGAGGACTCGTGAACGAATAGAAAATGGTTGTGATGAAATAGATAATGTATTATTAAGATCTAAAGATAAAAATAATTGGTCTTTGTGATGATTTCTTGAACTAGAGCAATTCGACCTACACTTATCAAATGTAAATACTTGTCTTCCATTAACAATTTTTCCTTCAAGGAATTTTTGATTGCTTGAAACACCAACCTCAATAACTTTTCTTCCTTTAGAACAAATAGTACATTCTTTGACTTCATCAGTAGTTCTTACTTTTAGTACTCTCATCCTTAGTCCTGCATATAAAATATCTTCTGGTCTAATAGAATTTTGTGATAACCAAAGTGGTGGTGCAGAAAATTCAATTGAGAATGGTACATGCCGAAAGATTGTTTGTGACGACATGTTTAAGACAGCTGTATTTTCATTGAATGACGTTGAAATTAGTTGTGATTCTCCTGACATTTTCTTCTTGACTTTTCGATTTCAAGATTTTTTTCACTTTTTTAATCTCAAAATCTTTATTTTTTCTCTTTTTCTTAGATTTCATAGTTCTTTTTCTCCCGTTTATTTCAATATTTTTCCAATAAAGTAGCAATTCATTTTTTTTGTTAGTCATTAAAATGATTAATAGTTTTTATTTATTTTTAGGAACATAAAATTAAGTGATACAAAACAAAAAAATAACTGATTAATTGATAATTATTTGGTTAAAATCTGTGTCAACAACAACATTCTTAACATGAGAATAAAATTTCTTTACATCTTCAATAAATGTTGGCCTCTTTTTCTTTGTTATTTTACCAACTATGTAAAGGGATAAGAATTCCAATTTCTCATTAACAAGGAAATTGGACTCTTTGAATATAGAATTAGCAATGGTAATTCGAACATTCATTGATTTAATATTTGGGTGATTAGTAAGGTCAAACGTTGTTCCACATAATACTGTCAATGCAGTAACACTTTGTGGAATGAAACCACATTCAGATTTCTTTAATTTTCCAATTTCTAAATTTTGAATTCCTTCTGCAAGTTGGTTTTTGATAGATGAAATAGTAAGAGATGTGAGAGTATTTGGAATACTAAATGTTTTTGGATATTCTCCTATTGATAATGCTTTTAATTGATTATTAAACAAAATGTCATCTTTTTTATCTATATGATAAATAACTAATTTTGTTAATGAAGAAGGACAATGTAATATCGTTGAAAAAGGAATTTCTAAATCTTTAATATTTAATGGAATTAATTTAACATCACTTGTAGTCATTTTTGTAATATTTAAATTTGAAATATTTTCAATTATTCTTTCATTTCCAGGAGTTAAAGAATCACTTAAGTCTTCGAAACAAGTACAACTGATAGGTAATTTTAATTTAAATCCTGGGTTATCAGTTGTAACTTTTGTGACTGTTGTTAAATGTTCAAGGTTTAAATCATAGAGATGTCCTTTTATTTCAAGTGGATAAAAATATTTTACATATTCTTTAGCCACTTTATCACTTTCTAAAAAATTAATAAAATGATTTGCTTGTAATTTTGGAATTATTGGGATAAGAAATTTATACTGTAAAATTTCTTCTTCACTTTCTTTTCCTTCAGTAAATTTATCAGGTAACTTAATAACAAAATTATACACATGGTTGATACAAGTAGGAAGAGATTTCCGAATAAGTTCAATTTTTGTAAAATCTGAGTTATTTTTAATTTCGTAACAGATACAAATTTTAATATTTTGGATTGTATTTAGTAAAGTAATAATAGAACTTATGAGTATCTTTTCATTAATCATTAAATCATATCCAATAATTAGTTGAACGTATTGTAGTGAAGGAAAATTTGATACGTTTTGGATAAATTCAACAAGGTTTTTTGAGTTGAATGATTGTTTTACTATTTCAAGTAATGGCATTGGTCTTTTAAAATTCTGAATAATAACACCTCTTCCAATCATTTTAGGACTTGAAACTGTTTCTGCATCAAAATAGCCATTAGTTATAGAACACTTATTGAATTTAGTGATTTCATTATCATTTAAAAGTGAAAAGTCAAAAGGACACTTAAAATGAATAATTTTAGGAAAAAGGGATCTTGCTAAAGAATAGTAATCAATAGGACTTGAAACAGTTGACATATCAATCACAGGATTTGATAAGATAGTTTTGTACAATCTCGTTATTTTTTTGTTAACAAATTGGAATGTAACAAGATCCCTTTTGAGGTGGATATATTTGAGGACTTCTTTAATAAATGATTCTTCTAGAATAACAACCATAAACCATGCTTTTTAGTTCTTAAAACCTTTTTTCTCATATATTTTTAATTTTTGTATCTTTTACATTCCTTAGAAATACAATCTTTTTTGTTTTTTAGCAATTATTAATTGAAAATTTATTTTTGTTAATAAAACTATTTAATAAATACTGAGGTAATCATTTTTGTAATATAGGAATAAAAAATAATCACAATAGGAAGTCTTGGAAGGTTGTGAGTGAAGAGATTTAATCTTAATTGAATAACAGTAAGTGATAAATTGTCTTAAAATCTAATTAAAAAATAATTTTTTTTAAATAATGTTTTATAACCCCAATCTTTAAAAAACATAATGACTACAAATATTCAAACAAGAATTGACCAAGTAATACACTGTAATAACCAACTTCAGTCATTCTTAAATATGGTAAAATTCTATGAACTATCAAAACGCATTAATTATAAAGAAAAATATCAAAACGAAATTGATCTCATTGCAATCAAACAGTTAAGTAACACTATTGAAGTATTACAACAAGGAGAAGATTCAGTCGATCAGATAGAGTCAGAAAAGAAAAAGATTATTGAAAGTATTGAAAAGACATTAAAAAGTGTTGAGTTAATTTATCAAGAATGCATAAAAAATAGGGAGTACATAATGAATACAAAAATTGAAATGATTAATGCATTAAAAGAGAGAGAGGAGAGTCAACATAATTACATAATTGCAGAAATGGAAAAGAAATTAAATGAAGAAAAATTTAAGTATGAATCTATAAAGAAACAAAATGAAATCAAAATAGAGAAAACTAAGAAAAAAATTGAGGAAAATAAAAAGAAAAATAGAGACAATACAATTTCACTTTATGAACATCCTACTCTTATTTTCAAAGAAAATAACAAACTTAAGAAAATAGAAGAAAACATTTTAAGACAGCCCTTTGATATTAGCATTGATGAAGATAATACTATCCCTTTAAGTACAGACAGTATGAGTCATGGCGATATAAAGAAGTTAATACAAGAGAAGATTTCTTCATGGACCTCTTTCAGTTTTAAACAAGTCATATTTAATAGTGATCAAAACGAATGGATAAAAGGAAGTTGTGTTTTTAATGAAAAAGTATTAAATCATAATAACCTTGCTTTTATTATTACAGATACTAATAAAAATAAATTTGGTGGATTTATTTATCAAAGTGTCTCTATGGAAGAATCTTATATTAGTGATCCTCAGGCTTTTTTGTTCACTATCCAAATCAATAATAAAATAGAGTTTAATAAATTTGATATCACTAACCAACAATATGCGTTTTATTTGACTGGACCAAAAACAAAACGGTTATTTACTTTTGGATTCGGGGGATATGATCTTACTGTTATGAAAAAAGGAGAGGAAGGAAGTAAATGTCATCAACGCACTTACCAATACAATGGTCATTCTTTATGTGGAAGTGATCACTTTACACCTCAACACATTGAAGTTTGGCAGTTTTCTTAATTTTGCAATTACAAGTTACGTAAGAATGGGGTGAATAACCAAAAAGTATAGTTGATTATAGTATTGTCTTAGAAAGAAGTGTCTCTAACCTTTATTTTTCTTTTATTTTTATTTATTATTAAAATACCTTGGTCTAATAACAAAAAGAAATGACTAAGCTTGAAGCTCTTGTTACCCTAAGAACAGTTGTTTAATCACTAGTTTTGGATATTTTAATTCACTCCTTTTTCTATTTACATAAAATTACTTCTCACAATTGGTTTAAAATATTTTATCACAACTCTTTCTTGAGTTAAATCACACACTGAATATGGGTGATTTGAAGACAACAGATAATATGATGAAATGGAAAAAGCCCACAAATTAACAAAAGAAATATTTAATAGAATATGTTTAAAAATAAAAGTAGAAAAGAGTGGGATAATGAATAATATCAATGGTCAAACAATTGGAGAATTAGATGAATTGCAAAGAGTAATTAATGATAATCATTATAAATATCTTGGTATTGAAATATGAGATAAAATAAATATTAAAAAATATTATACAAGATTATTAAATGATATACTCTCCTTTTTATCATCATTAAACACTATGGTTTATAATATTATTAATACAATAAGAAAGATTATTAATGACATAATATAAAAATTAAGATATTGATTCTGTATTGTCAAATATAAATGAAGTGAGTTTGAAAATATAGATAAATAAATAACAAATTTATTAATCCAACTCAAAGTGTATAATAAATATCCATAAAATAGATTATATGTTACAATAAATGAATTATGAATGTGGTTAATGTCAGCACGAGATGAATATTGTAATGAATTAATAAGAATATATTTAAAATATAAATATCAAATACAAGAATAAATGAAATGATAGAGGCAGTAAAAGAGAATCTAAAATGAATAATTAAAAGAATAAAGAGAGTATTTTGTAAGAAGATTAATTTCAATGAATTAATGAATACAATCAAATGAAAGAAAACATGATGTGGACAATGTACTCAGGTTTGTGACAAATTGAGTTAAATGATATTTAAATGAAAAAAATGTGGTGAATATATAAAAAGTATGTTATTAGCTCAAATCTATTAGTATTAATCAATAATTTAGATTATTAAAAAAAATTAAATTAAATTAAAATTATATAATAAAAATAATAATTAAAAAAAAAGAAATTTATAATAATTTATATTATAAACTATAATAATCTATTAATATAAGACTTTCTTAAAGGAGCATGTTAAAAATGAAAAATACAGAAAAATGAAAAGATATTAGATTTAATAGAAATCAACATCACATATAAATCTTTAAAGCAGTATTCCATGAATGCGTATATTAATAAAACCGTTTTTTAACACTACTAATACTTTGAAGATAAAGAAGGTAATAAGTTGAAGATAAATTGAGTTAATAGTGTTATATAAAACAAATAAAATAAAAAGAGAAAAACTAACAACTAAATAACAAATGTTTGGTCTTGCAGAAGCTATACAACAAGGGAAAAT